GAATCTCTAAAGTGCCACATACTTATTATACTTACATATATAATGCTTCTCTTTGAGGCTATTTCTATTATCCATATCGTAGGATGCATGACTGCCCAACTGATCAGTGGTAACTGCTTGACCGGCCTTCGCACGGTGGTAAATGTAAGACTACTCAACCGGTGGTAAATAATTATACATAACTACCCAACCGATAGTAACTGCTCGACCGGCCGTAGCCCGACGTAAATGCATGTCTGCCCAACTGGTCATAGCATGGTGGTAAACGAAGATGCATGACTGCCCAATCAGCCGTAGCATGGTGGTAAATATGTAACTGCCCAACCGGCTGTAGCTCGGTGGTAAATGCATGACTGCCCGACCGGCCGTAGCTCGGTGGTAAATACATATGCATGAAGATGCATGTATTACTGTCACGACCCCAAAACTAACCCGGCCGTGATGGCGCCTAACATGGAACTAGGCCAGCCGACACAATCCCAAAACTAGTCAATATTTTAAATTCTTAGGATAACATCAAATTCATTTAACAATAAAGCCTTATATAGTGTTTAAAACAAAACAATAGTGCAGAAAGAAAGCCAAACATTGGGGTGTCACTTGTCATGAGCATATACTACAACTGTCTGACAGCATCAAGACCAACATGGCCGGGAAAATTACAAATATTCACTAAAGGAGAATAAGGAGGGAGAAAAACAGGGCTGCAATCGCCAGGCAGCTACCTTGCTAACTCCGATGAACCTGCCACTGAGTAATCAACACCCGCTACGGGGTTTAGAAATACCTGAATATGCACGCAAGGTGCAGAGAGTAATGTGAGTACGCCAACTCAGTAAGTAATAAAGGTAAATAGAGGCAATCGGAAACAATTAAGATCCACATCATGATAAACTCAGTAAGCACAATATGCTTTCAAATCAGAATATGAGTCAAATTATCTCATTTAAAATCCAGTTTTTGGTAAAAATCATTTGAAGATGCTTTCCAACAGTTTCAATAGAGGTTCAATACAGTTTACAGTAAAAGTGATGAAGATCATAATCAGCCCCTCGGGCAAAACATAGTTCGTATACAGTCCCTTGGGGCAAAACATGAATCAATAAATAGCCCCTCGGGTAAACCTCTCATTCACTCCTATACATCTCATAACATAAAAATCTCAGTGGAAATAACAAAGCCAAATCAGTTATTAAATTTTGAACATATCGTAGAAACTCCAGTTTCAATGAAAGTTGTTTAACATTTAGATCAACATTTTCAATAGAGGCTTAGTATAAAGAGAAGTAAAAACAGCGATTTCATAAAAACAAGCCCCTCGGACAAAGTAACACTCATATATATATTTAGCCCCTCAGGCAAGCCTCTCAGTCACTCGAGACTCAACTCTCATCAATCAGCGCTCACACTCAGCACTCACGCTCAATAGGTACTTTATAATAACCGTTGCAGAGTGTAGCCTGATCCATAAATTTATAGTCGACTGTGCTCACAGGGGGTGTACAGGCTCCTACAGCCCAAGCTCTACATCGTTGTGTCATGCAGCCCGATCCATATATCGTTGCGGCGTGCAACCCGATCCATCAATATATAACCCTCATAACAAGGCCCTCGGACTCTCTCAGTCATCAACCTCACAATCCGGCCCTCGGCCTCTCTCAGTCATCAACCTCACAAGCCACTCAAGTTATCAGTAAAACAGGGTGCTCAGCCCCAAAATATCATTTTATGCACCAAAGGAGAAATAAATACTGAGTTATGAAATCAATAAAAATATAATATGACTGAGTACAGATCTTAAGTCAAAATAGTGAGGAAATAATAAGGAAAAACCCCTAAGGGTCCAAACAACTTGGCACGAGGCCCAAATATGGCATTCGGCCCAAAACATAGTAATGGTTTCCAAAACACAAGTGTATCAAATAGTTTTCAGTCAAATACATAACTTAAGAGTCTCTACGGGACGGACCAAGTCACAATCCCCAACGGTGCACGCCCCCACAATCGTCATCTAGCGTGTGAGTCACATCAATATAGTGAAACGAAGTGAAATCCGGGGTTTCATACCCTAAGGACAAGATTTACAATCATTACTTACTCAAACCGGACGAAAATCTACTTCGCAATGCCCTTGCCTCTTGACTCGGCCTCAAATCACCCCCAATCTATCGAAAATCACAATCATATCATCAATACATGCCAAAGGGACAAATCCCACGTGAATATTATCAAATTAAACTCAAAATTCCGAATTTGCTCAAACCCGGTCCCACGAAATCATCAAAATCGGACCTCAAATGGCCCCTCAAATTCCCAATTTAAACTCTCCAATTTTAAGCCCTAATATCCTAATTTCTTCTCAAATTTTCCCACTAATATCATGATTAAGCAAGGGAATAATTGCCATAAACACAAGATACAAGGTCCAAGCAGCTTACCTCACTGAAAAACGCTTGATTCCCCCTTGAAATCACTGCTTGGAGCTCCAAAATTGACCAAAAATGGTGGAAGAATGACCAAAATTCATAAAGGAGCCTTTATATACATTCTGCCCAGCACTTCTGCATCTGCAGATCCCATCACGCATTTGCAGGGCCGCATCTGCGGAAAATTCTCCGCTTCTGCGGAATCTCAGTAAAAGGGCATTCCCGCGTCTGCGGTTGCCTGACCGCACCTCCGGTCATCGCAGATGTGGGGACCAAACCGCACCTGTGACCCCTGCTTCACATCTACACTACATAACCATTTATGTGGACCTCACACCTGCGGTCCCCAATTTACAGGTGCGGATATGACAGAAGCAGCAACTTCAGCTGCTCCAATTCAAGTCCAAGCTTTCTGACAACCTTCTGAATTCATCCCGAGGCCCCCGAGACCTCAACCAAAAATACGAACAAGTCACATATCACCATTTAAACTTATTCCAACCTTCGGAACACTCAAAACAACATCAAAACATCAAATCACCCTCGAATTCAAGCTTAAGGATTTCCAAACTTTCGAATTCCACAACCGATCCAAAAACCTGTCAAACCTCATCCAAATGACCTAAAATTTTGCACACACGTCACAAATGACACAACGGACCTACTCCATTTTCCGGAATTTTATTCTGACCCCGATAACAAGATTTTCACAGCCGACCGAAAAATGCCAAATTTCAAATATCGCCAATTCAAGCCTAAATCTACCACGCACCTCCAAAATACTGAACATGCTCCTAAGTCCAAAATAACCTAACGGAGCTAATCAAATCATAAAAATCCAAATACGAGATCGAATACTAAAAAGTCAAGATTTGGTCAAACCCTTCAAATTTAAAGCTTCAAGCTGAGAATCATTCTTCCATATCTGTTCCGATTAACCGGAAAACCAAATTCGACGATTTACATAAATCATAATGCATCATACGGGGCTAGTCATGCCCGAGAATTGGCGAGCGCAGTGCAAATGCTCAAAACGATCGGTCGGGTCGTTACAATTACAATATTATAAACATTAACATCTTTATCAAATACCTCAATAGGGAACTAGATACATACTTAGACATGCTTGAATATCATTTTACGGGAATGAATAATATAGATATCCTTAACTGCTAAGAGTAGAACCACTTATGTAATAGTATTATATTTACGTATCGTTACTTGGATCATGCCAAAAGAAAGAAGGGATAGCCTTAACATACCTGGAGTAGGGAAAAATCCATATGATATTCTTGTATATGTCATTCCTCTAAATATAGATATTGTTTTTTTTAATAAAAAGTACTTTATATATGAAACTAGGATGAGCACACGTTCCATTTTCCCTTCATGTGAATTGCAGAAATAAGGGTTCCCTCTTTATCCATAACAACAAGTTACACCAGACTAAAATCTATAGATGTTACATAGTCTTAAGTACAAATATCAGATTCAGATAGGTGTAAGATTACAACAAATTTTAGTAGGCCTTTTGTAGTGTATTTTGGAATATCCAAGTAAGGTACCATTGTGAAGTCACGAACTTGACAAGGGTAAACCAAGAACTAAGGAGTCCATGTAACAGAGAACTTCACACCTTTGCTCCTCACTTTATGCTGAAGAAATATACACTAAATTATAGATGAGACCAACCAAAAATATTTCACCAAATAGAGAACTTATATGGAGTACTGACCAACATGTAGCAGTTAGCAAGCCTACTTGTCCCCTACCAAACTATTCTCTAAATGTCACCTTACTCTACAATGACTTAAGAGTCATCTTAAATTAAAAGACGGCTGCCACGTTTTGGGGGTGGGCAAGCTTATCCAAAATATTGAATTAATTAACTAATCTTCGATTAAAAGTTATTAATTACCCAATTATCCACATAAGTAAGAAATCTCAAATTACTTAAAACACTACTCACTTTCAACATAGTTTATACCTCTTACTATCATGGTCATGTCGTACCATATAAAATTAATACATACACTATTATTTCATTAAAGTATCCATGTAAAAATACATATATCTTCTCAACTTCTAATTTTCCTAATCTCATATAAATAGTACAAATTTTCGTACGCTTAATTCTTAAAATGGTAAAAAATATAACCTTCTTTTCTTGTGAAAAAATAATTTCTATCTTTACAATAAAAAAAATTTCATAAACTTTCTTATATTATGTGTATAATTTAAAGCATATTCAGAAGTTGTAATATTAATAACTATATAAAATTATGTTTTCAAATTTTTTTCTACAATAAATGTTCCACTCAAAATAAATACCATATCAAAATGTATCTAACGGTATCAAGGTTGTTAAACTTACGGGATGTAACAGAAGCAACAATCAACCATGTGAAGTTCACCATCACGCACAAATTGAAGCGGTCGATCACCAGTGAACGGTATGATGAACTCCAAGACAGTATCATCTTCGATAATTCAGATACCCACAGTTTGACCTTTCCTCATTTCGACGCTCTTCTCATTACTTTACGAATTTCAGATACCGATGAAAAAAGAATCATGGTAGACGATGGGAGCGACGCGTGTATTATCCACCCCAGAGTTCTCACGCAAATGAGACTCAAGGATGAGATAGTACTACGCTGCATAACACTAACAGGTTTTAACAATGCAGTTGAACGAACCTCCGGGGAGATAGCACTGCCCGTTCTGGCCGGAGGCGTCACCCTGGAAACAACATTCTGTGTCATTAACCAAGACACGGCTTACAATACCATCATAGGGAAACCCTGGATACACGCCATGAGGGCCATCCCGTCCAGTTTATATCAGGTCATCAAGTTCCCTACCCCACGGGGAATATTCAGCATCCACAGTGAACAGCGCACAGCTCAAGAATGCTATCGCATCGCCCAAGATTGCACATACACTCAACAGTTAAGAGAGGAAGGCTCAGGAGCATAGCAGTTACCGAAGTCGGGGCCCAAGCCCGACTAGCAAATAGATGTCGTCAGAGACCTCGACGTCGTAGAAGCCACAGGGTCAATAGTGGAAGACCTCGGCCCCGTCCAACTGGACGAAAGTGACCATAACAAAAAAGCCTACATCGGCCACAAACTCACAAAACTAGGTAAATTCCATAAATTGTTAATTGATAACGCCGATCTATTTGCTTTCTCCCATGCAGATATGCCAAGTATCCCTAAAGATATTGCAACACACAAGCTGAACATTGATCCACTTTACCTGTCGGTACGACAAGTCAGAAGAAAGTTCAATGCCACAATCAACATGGCCGTCCACGAAGAGGTAGAAAAATTGCTCGCAAACGGTTCCATTCGAGAGTCAAAGTACCACCAATGGGTCGCTAACGTGGACATGGTAAAAATGAAAAACGGGAAATGGTGCATGTGCGTAGACTTCACGAACCTAAACAAAGCCTGCCCGAAAGATTCCTTCATGTTTCCTCACATCGATCAGCTCATCGATGCAACAGCGGGGCACGACTTATTAAGTTTCTTGGATGCCTACTCAGGCTATAACTAAATCCTAATGGAGGAGGAAGACCAATAAAAAATCATATTCATCACCCATCAAGGAGTGTACTGTTATAGAGTCATGCCGTTCGGATTGAAAAATGCAAGAGCGACTTATCAGAGGCTGGTCACCAAGATGTTCAAAGAGCAACTCGGAAAAACGCTGGAAGTCTATATAGATGACATTTTAGTTAAGTCAAAAAGAAAAGAGGACCACATCTACCACTTGAGGGAAGCCTTCGACATACTTAAATGATACGTCATGAAGCTAAATGCCGAAAAGTGTGCTTTTGGCGTGACGTCGGGGAAGTTCCTCAGTTTATTGGTGTCACAGAGAGGCATTGAGATCAAACCCGACCAGATCAAGGCTATAGAGGGAATACCTAAAATTTTGACCAGCAAGAAACAAGTGCAGAAGTTGATCGGTCGTATAGCCGCCCTGTCAAGGTTCATCTCATGAACCTCTGATAGATGCCACAAATTTTTCAACGTGCTCAAAAAGGACAACGGAATCCACTGGAACTCCAAATGCGTCAATGCCCTAAGAGAGCTAAAGGCATACCTGTCCTCGCCCCCATTACTCGCCAATGCAGAACCAGGCGAACGCCTCTTAATCTACCTAGCCGTGTCCGACGTCGCAGTAAGCACAGTCTTGCTCTGTGAAAATAAAGATACACAATCTCTAATCTATTACATTAGCAAAACCCTGGTCGACACCAAAACAAGGTATCCCCACCTCGAAAAACTAGCTCTGGCATTAGTCATAGCTTTACGAAAGCTGAGACCCTATTTTCAATGCCACCCCATCTCGGTGGTCACGACCTTCCCTCCAAGGATCATCTTACATAAACTCAAGTTGTCAGGTAGATTGGCCAAATGGACCATCGAATTAAGCGAGCATGATATAACATATCAGCCGCGAACAGCGATAAAATCGCAAGTACTCACCGACTTCGTCGCCAACTTTAGCGCCAAAATACTACCTGAATTTGAGCAGGAAGCTACCTGTACCTCCCCCAAGACACCCGACCTATGGGTCCTGTACACCGATGGCGCCTCTAACGCGTCAAAGCTAGACTAGGACTCGTGCTCGAGGTCCCAACAGGCAAAGCCATTCGCCAGTCCATACGGTGTACCGACATGATTAACAATGAGGCCAAGTATGAGGCCATAATTGCAGGACTGAAACTAGCTCTCAAGTATGGAGCACGAAGAGTCTTCCTCCGATGCGACTCATAACTTCTCATCAACCAAGTCACAGGGACTTTCCAAATCAAAGAACATAGGCTACAAAAATATCAAGTAGAAATTCATAAGCTACTACCCAAGTTCGACGAGTGCCAACTCGACCAGATACCTCGAGCACAAAACATCAAAGCAGATGGCCTCGCCGAATTAGCAGCAGCCACCAAGAACATAAGCGGGAAAGAAAACGTGGTCACCCTCCTCTGTTCGTCAATAGACCAAATTGAGGTACGCACTATAAACCTGACTTAGGACTGGCGCAACCGTATAATGTCATACTTACAGGACAGAGTACTCCCAATCGACAAAAAAGAAGCCAAGAAGCTTCGAATGCAGGCGGCCAGATACAGCATCATCAACCACGACTTGTACAAAAGAATGTTTGGCAGTCCCTTGGTGAAATGCTTAGGACCAAACCAAGATAGACGTGTCCTCGAAGAAGTACATGAAGGCCACTGTGGAGCCAATACCGGTAATCGAGCCCTCGTTAGATGCCTCATACGGGCAGGCTATTACTGGCCCACCATGAAAAAAGAAGTCGTTGACTTTGTCAGAAATTGCAAGCAATGCCAAAAATACGCTCCAATAATCCACCAAGTGGGCGAGCACCTCCACTCAGTCACATCGCCTTGGTGTTCATCAAATGGGGGATGGACATCGTCGAACCCCTTCCGGCAGGACGAGTTAATGTACGATTTCTTTTGGCTTTCACTGAATATTTTTCCAAATGGGTAGAAGCAGGTGCGTTCGCCCAAATACGCGAACAGGAAATCATCACATTCATATGGAGGAACATCATATGCTGCTTCGGCATCCCCAAAGAAATCAGCTGTGACAACGGACCCCAATTCACCAGAAAAAATATCACTGAATTCTTCGAGAAGTGGCACATCAAGCGAATACTCTCCATGCCATATCATCCCGCAGGCAATAGTCAGGCACAATCCTCAAACAAAACAATACTGGGCATCATGAAGAAGAAGCTTGAGAATGCCAAGTGATTGTGGTCAGAACTGCTACCGGAAGTGCTATGGGCATACCGCACCACACCAAAAACAAGCACGGGAGAAATGTCATATTCACTAGTCTATGGGACTGATGCAGTAATACCAGTTGAAGTCGGGGAACCAAGCTTGAGATATCCAATAAGAGCGGATCAAGTAACAATGAAAGCATAAAGCAAGACCTCGACGAAACAGATGAGCGGAGAGACATGGCCTACGTAAGAATGATAGTTCAAAAACAGCAAGCAGCACGGTACTATAATAAAAAAACCAGTTAGACCACTCAAGGTAGGGGACTATGTACTCAAAGCCAAAACGCAAGTGAGCAAAGACCCTTGAGAGGGCAAATTGGGAACCAATTGGGACGGACCATACAAAATCACGGCAACAGCAATAAAGGGTTATTCTGACTAGAAACTATGGAGGGAAACTACTACCAAACAATTGGAACGTCGCCTACCTCAAATACTTCAACTTCTGAAGACGGACGTCCCCCGAGTCATACTCTTTTTCCCTCACCCGAGTTTTTCCCAATTGGGTTTTCTCGGGGTGGATTTTAATGAGGCGACGATGAGGGTGTCTCGGAGCTTAGTTATTAAGTTCATCACCCCGCCTATTGACTACTCTTCCAGGTCGAATGATGAAGGGACTAGATAGACTGAGACTCCTCGAATGTATGTACGGACCGATAAGAAATATGTAATAGTCTCCAATGAATAAACAACAGCATATGACATTCTTGCACAACACCAAGTTTACACAATCACGCCAACGCAAAGGAAATATACATTCGATCTCACTCGAATTATTTTCTAAGTCTACATTCGACCTCGCTCGAATTAATAGACATTCGACCTTGCTCGAGTCAATAAACATTCGATCTTACTCGAATTATTTTCTAAGTCTACATTCGACCTTGCTCGAATTAACAAACATTCGACCTCCTTTGAATCAATATACATTCGATCTCGCTCGAATTATTTTATAAGTCAACATTCGACCTCGTTCGAACCAATATACATTCAATCTCACTCGAATTAGTTTTTAAGTCTACATTCTACCTCGCTCAAATTAACAGACATTCAACCTCGTTCGAATCAATATACATTCGATCTCACTCGAATTATTTTCTAAGTCTATATTCGACCTTGTTCAAATCAATATACATTTGATCTCACTTGAATTATTTTCTAAGTCTACGTTCGACCTCGCTCAAATCAATCTATATCTGACCTTGGTCAAAATAACTTACATTCGATCGACCGAAAGTCAAGGACTTTTTCACAAAAAACGTACAAAAAAGAAGGGAAAAAGGAGCTGAAATACACAACAAAAGACAACTGTTCTATTTAAATCATTCCATTCCAATACATTTTATAAAGGACGTGAAAGATGCCCCCACAAAAAGAGAAAAGCAAAACACAAAAAAAAACAACAACAACACCAACTACAAAGACTTCATGCTGCATCATTCCCCTCATCACCAGCATACTCATCATCGTAACAAGGGTCGGAGGCAATCCCGTCCAAGGAATCTCCATCATCGTCCCCGCTGGGCGTGCTAGGATCATAACCATAGGCTTCACGAGCTATATGTTCTTTGACATGAACATCTTCAAGCTCCGCCTCGGAAATCATCCTAGCCGCCTTCAGAGACCTATATAGGTCAAGTTGGGCCTCAGTATGAACCCACATTTCATACAACTCATGTGACACACCAGGGTCGACAGAAGTATGAGACATAGACGGCAGGGCCTGCTATAGCGCCTTCCTAACTCTTAGGGCAACAACTTGCTCATTCAGCTCGGACAACTCTACCTCCAAACCCTCAATCCGCTCCTCAAACCTCGCCTCCTTAAGCACCGAAGTTTCTGCCTCAGTAGCCCGCTCAGACCTTAAAACATGAAGGGCACTCTCTAAGGCCATCGCCTCTGCCACAGCGGCCATTCTGGCCTTCTCAGCCCAACCAACTATTCAACACTAGTACTTAACTCATCCCTCAGGTTGATGGCCCTTGTTTCGCTCTGCTCAAGCTCGACCTTTAAAGGCACCATCTGTGCCTGAAAGTCAGTATTCTCGGCTATCACCCCCTTGCTCACCTCGAGCTCATCCTCTTTAGCCTTCAGCGCCCCCTCAAGCACGTTGCATCTACCGATGGCCCTTATAGGCTCCTTGTCTT